CTGAGAGAGATTTTCCTTTCGGACAGAGCCCAAGCCCTTCGAATGCCCATAATAGAATGCTATTTACAGTATACGACAATCTTATTTTAATATCTGAAATTATTTACAAGTTTAAATTCAAAGCACAGGTATGGAGAGAAATTAATAGAATGCTGTTAATGGAAATGTTTTTCCTCATTCTGGAGAAGACAAGAGCCATTTAAAAATAAGATGATATGAATATATGATGTATGAGGGCAGCAACAAAGGCTCATTTATTCATGCATTTTCTTAGTAGGTACCTACTATGTCCTAGACAAATACAATTCATCTTCGTACTTTATTCTCGCCTGTAGCAGTGGTTTGCACTTGGTAGGCATGTGATTGCTTGCTATCATGATGTGTGGTTTACATATTGATCCACAGATATATGCAATAATATTTAATTCTCAAGTTTACTCAATTTGAGATTATAAATGCATATTATGTATATATGCTGCAACTATGTACAACTTAGATATTCATATAAAACCAAAAACCAAACCTGTTGCAGTTGAGACAATTCTGACTCATAGCGATCCTATAGGACAGAGTAGAACTGCCCCATATGGTTTCCAAGGAGCACCTGGTGGATTTGAACTGCCGACCTTTTGGTTAGCAGCCATAGCTCTTAACCACTATGCCACCAGGGTTTCCAGATATTCATATACATGTGCATATATATACATATATATACACACATACACACACACACAGATAAGTATGTATACACGACATGCTAAAAATTCTTGATTTGCAAATTTTAAATTATATTATTGGAATGTGCTTATTCCATTTGGAGTAAATCTCAATGGTCATCTTTGGAATTCCCATTTGCTTTAGCTGCCACCTTTAGTCTCTGTTTATATTATTGGGCATCTAGTAAATTATTTCACTCTGTGCTTTTGATAGCCAAAAGTAATCTTTTTTCTTTTTTTTTTTTCAAGAATTGTAAAATTACACTGTCAATATATTGGCGATAGTGCATACTGTTAGGACAGACTTGGAATACCTTCCCTCAAGTGATTTTAAGCTTTTTAAAGCATTACTATTTTCAGCAGTTTTCATCAGTCACTCATTGTTAGTAAAAAAGTCTAAGTACTCTAATTTACTTTCAAACTTATCTAGAACTAAGCCTCATTTTTATTCCAACCTTAGTTTACATTACTTTAGTATGCAGAACCTCTGACCTAGACAGACTGGTACTGTCAATATTCCACAAATATATATTCATATTTTACACTTTGCCTTTGTTTAGATGGCTTTCTTCCACCTTTTACCTTCTTTAAATACCAGTTGTTATTCTAGGTTACAAATCAAGTGCATCATTCACTTCAACCACATTAACTGCTTAATTTCCAAACAATATTTTTCCATATTCAGAGAATTCAGTACCATAGGAAATGGACTTACATTTCACAAGAATTTTTGACAAGTTGAAGGAAGAACTTGACTATGGGACTATTACAGAGGCAGTGTGGATCCTCAATCCCTGGCTAACTTTGAAAATGGAGTATGTCCTGGAAAGATTTGAAGGAGGATATTGGAAATCAATACCAGTTATATAGTGATGATTCAAAAAATGGGCCTTTAATAAACGAATGAAAAGAGCTACATTAATTTACTTTCTTACTTTTTTACAAACTAAGCTACATATTTTCGTCCATGGAACAGTAAAAGGCAATATAACACTGAATTTGGAGTAAGAAAAGCTGACTTAAGTTCCTTCTAGTATTTTTGTGCCAATGACAAATTAGTTAAACTCTCTCAGTCTCATTTATATTAACTGTAAAATAAAAATAATCATCATAAACAAGAAAAGATCATTAAAAATAAAA